ATGTTACAATACAGATGAACCTTGTAAACATATGTTAAGTGATAGAAGTCAGACTCAAAAGGCCACATATTGTATAATTCCTTTGTATCAAATATTCATAATAGGCAAATCCACAGAGACATAACGTAGACCGGTGGTTGCCAGGGGTAAGGGGAAAGAGCGAATGGGGGAGTGGGTGTTCAATGCATACAGGATTTCTTCTTGAGGTGACAAAAATGTTCTGGAATTAGATAGTGGTGATATTTGTTCAGTTTTGTAAATATACTAAAAACCACTGAGTTGCACACTTTTAAATGGTTAAAATATTGAATTGTATGTTGTGTGAATTTATCTTCAATTTTAAAAAATGGACTGCAGCTTTGATGAGACAGCAATAGACCTGGGTCATTATCCCTCGTTTAATATCCTAAGAGTGTCTTGAGAAGCAAAGGTCCTGAAATCATTTTGAAGTATCAACAGCAAATCATTCTCAAATGCTTGTGCTTGGGTTCGGACAGCTTTGGCTCAAGCTGATGGCTAATTGTGTGAGGTGTGCAACTGAGCTGAGCTTATCCTTCTCATCTATCTCCAGTGAGATGATGCCGGTGCTCCCAGGGGTGGGTGGGCAGGCCAGAGGCCAGGAGGAGCTGACTGTTGTTGGCAGGTAGTCACTGTTTACGTTTGTCAGAATAGGAGACTGGCAGGATCATATGCGCTCCTAACGCAAGAAAGATGGCCAGAGCCTTGTAGCCAATTCTGAGGCTTCTGTGGAGGTGCCAACCGTTGATCCTGGTGGGGGAAGTGGGGACTTGTTTTTTTTTTTTTTTCTTTTTGTCTTTTTTCGTGACCAGTAATGGGATCACAACCCTCGGTGTCATGCCCGTACCGCGACCAGCAACGGGATCGCAACCCTCGGTGTCGCGCCCGCACTGCGCTCAACCAGTGAGCGGACCAGTCTCTATATGGGATCCGAACCCTCGGCGGGAGCGCAGCTGCGCTCCCAAGCGCCACACTCTACCGAATGCGCCACTGGGCCGGCCCAAGTGGGGACTTGTTAATGGGCAGGGCATACTTAACAAGGACCTCTCCTTTGCACCTCTTGTAAGGTGCCTAAGTGAGCAATAACAGATTTTAATGATCATTTGTGTTCCTGGGACCATGAAGCATGAGCTCAAATGTCTGCTTTAAGTGCAAAGACCCTCTTAGATAGTGACCATTATTCCTCTTTTTCTTTTGTATTTGGAGAATGCTGCCATGGCAATTTAATTAGAAGACAGATAGTGTCACTGTACTTAAAGCAGATGACAGGCTTTAAACCACATGTGCTAATCAGCACCAGGCAGTTATGAAGGCAGCATCCTGCTTTTATTGTTAATTGCCCCAATTTTATTAACCTTCAGACACTTGGATTGTTTTTAAAGATTTGCCTGTGGCAATTAATTGCAGCAATTTATCTGGAATATTGCATGCATTTGGCTTGAATATGCAATGAAGACCCTGTTTCAAAGCAGCAACAGTGAACTCCTACAATCTATGATCAAACAATAGAATGATTCAAGACACACATTGCTTTCCAGTCTTTTGCTGGTTTATGAATTTTATGATTCCAAAGAATCATAATGAACCAGCATAAAGAAAGTGCTCAAAACACACTTTAAATAGCTTTATTCACCTCAAGAAGGTTCAAACTCTTTGGAGAGATTTGATGAAATGTGCTTGGTAGAAAGAGAGGGGGAAGTTTTAACCTAAACTATTCTTTAACTTTGCTGGAATTAGTAGCTCTCACAGTGTTTCTACTTAACAGCCTATGACATCCAAGGGTCTTTATTGCTGAAGTGTGCTTAGGAAATACATCTTTAGGAATTCTTTTCTATTTATCCTACAGGCCATGACAATATTGTCGTCTTTCCAAAGTTTCTCTCACATGGATAGTGCTATTTTATAAAAGTTCATAGTAATTTTAAAGAGCCAACCTCTATCTCAGTTGGTGGCACCACTGCTTCCTCAGGCACCCAAGCTAGACACTTGGGAATCATCCCACATGCTTCTGCCCCCAGTCTACCCAGCCAACCAACTCTTACATGGTCCTCTTCCCCAGTTTCACTCATCTGGTCTGAGTCAGGGCCCCTGTGGATTATTCTAGCAGGCTCCCAAGTGGTTCCCTGCCTCAGGCTTCATCTCCTTTCAGTCTACCCTCCCTCACATCTCCAGCTACTTTAACATGAGTTAAATGCAAATCTTACCTGGGCATTCCAACCCTTAACATCCTCTAATAACTCCCCATGACTTAGAACAGACTCAAGTTCCCCAAAATGGCACCCAGTGCCCTCTAGGACCTGAACCCTTTTACCTCTTTAGCTCATCACTCACTACTTCCTGGCTCCTGGGAACTCTGGGCTGACACACAGAAGGACAGTCTCTTTGCTCTCTCTATTCTCTCTGCAACTTTGTCCCTTCTGTACAAAATACCCTTCTCCTTTCTATACTGTATATACTGTGGTTCACCTAATAAAAAAACAGACAAAACTCTCTATATAAACATATTCACATATATTGGCATAGATGTCATTTGTTTTCAAGACATCAGTTTTACTGGCTACCCAACAATCAGTTACATGGATTTGCCATAATTTAACCATGTCCCTGATACTGAACATTTAGATTGCTCTCAATTTTTAGTATAATATAAAAATTGTAATAATTAACATTCTTCTATCAAATCTTTATCCTCGTCTCTAGCTATTTCCTTAGAAATATTTCTTTTAATGGAATTACTAGATTAAAAATTGAGAAGTTGTGTAAAGCATTCATTATATATTGCCAAATTGACATAAAATTTCTGATGTAATCTTTTTTATGTAATCTTTCCAATAGTCATGATTTCTCATTCTACATGATAGCCCCTTCACATTCCAAATTTAGACCAGGGACTACAGTAGGTCTCCTAATGTTTCTAAAACTTTACTCATCTATCAAGTCAGGTCTCCTGAGAGCCCCATGCCTGCACTACATGTCAGGGATTCTTGCACCTGATAGAAATGCCTTCCCAGAATTAGTATTTAGAATACAAGCTCCAGGTAGAGACAGCCTCGGCATTCACTAAGAGCAAGTATGAGAAGTGGTCCTGAGAAGAATGTTCAGATTACTTTTGAAGGCATCCTTTAAAGTTATTTTTACAAAATTTACATGGTATCTCTCCCTTGGAGTACAATTCATGGAAAACTTCATAATTATTAATAGCCTGGTGTTTCAATTAAATAATGATAGATATGTAACCATGGTGTCTCTCTCTCTCCCTTGTTTTGGCTACCAGAAAGCTCAGGATGCTATTTCCTCCAGGTCTAGTTTTATGATGTGAAAAGTAGCTTTGTGACTTAAACTGCTCAAGTCTCAGTTTCTTCATCTATAAAATGAAGATAACTAATACCTACTCTGCAGAGTGGTGTTTAAGGAGCCAAGTATGGTGTCTGCCAAATACGTACTGATTGATTTCTATGTATAAGATACTGTACTCAGTGCTAGGGGAACAATGGACAAGGTTCTTGCCCTGCTGGAGTTCATATTCTAGAGGGAAAGCCAGAAGGCCAATAAGTAAACAAATGCACAGATGACGGTAGGCAGGTTGTGATGAGTGCCATGTGCAAACAAAGGAAGGGATGTGGGGGAGGGTAACTGGGTGTAAGAGGTGGCCTGCCTTAGATAGTGTGATTCTGGAAGACTGCTCTGTGTGGAAGACACTTGCACTGAGACTTCAGGGATGAGGATGAGCTAGCCACATAAAGTCGGAGCAAAGAGCATCCCAGGCAGGAGGAACAGAGAACAGCCAGGCCCTGAGGCAGGAAACCACTTGGCAAGTTCTAGGAGGCTGGTGAGAGAGGCTACAGCAGAGCAGGCACACAGAATGCTGTGAGATGAGGAAAACAAACAGTAGTATGGCTAATAAAAATTGCTTGCTTGCCTTAGTGGTTTTATTATACATGGGCCTTTTATTACAGTTTCAAATACTTTTGAAGTGGCAAATATATAAAGAAAAAGGTGAATAAAGTCATTAATTAGAAATAATTTTAACAGCATTTATCAAAAGCCTACTATACACATTATATGACTTAAATATTTAATTCTCCCAATAATTTTATATGGTAAATACTATTATTAGCTTCTATTATTCCTTTTTACTGATGAGGAAGTGAGACACAGAGTGTTTAATAAATGTCCCAAAGTTGACACAAGAAACAAGTTTATGAGCAGAATTTGAATCCGGCGGTCTAACTCCAAAGCCAGTGCTCTAAGCCATTACCCAGTGCTGCCTCTTCGGGTTACACAGCTATTGTGAATCAGTTATTTGATGGCACACACAGGTCCTCTTGAGTTTATAACAGTTGTGCTTGCTAGTAGCAGGAAATATGTTTGGAATTCATAATCTATTTTCTTCTTTTTTTTTTTTTTTTTGGTATCTGGCCAGTACCAGGGGTCCAAACCCTTGACCTTGGTGTTACAAGGCTGCACTCTAACCAACTGTGCTAACTGGCTATCCTGGAATTCATGATCTATATATAATATATTATCAGGGACAAATCTTCAAATTCTATTCATTATCAAGAAGTAGGGTCTAATGGAGCATGAGAAAAATTTCTCTCACACAAAAAAATAAAGACCTCTAATTAATTAACACTTTAATAATCATTACCAATTTGCAGAACTTGTCCATTATTAACTCTTTATCTATAATTTATTACACAGATATTTATGTGGGTCAAAGTATGTCCAGCTTGCAAATAGCTACTGGTTTGCTCTCCTGTGGATACCAACCATATGTGCTAAGCAGACACAATAAAGATTAATTTTATTTAAATAATGTTGCTCAGAGAAAGTGATCAGGCAAAATAGTCTGATGGCTGGTAAAAATCTTTTTTAATTACTCATTTTCCAGGTGGAGTTCTGTTTCAATGTATAATCTCTGATGTGCCAATGCCAACCCAAGGCCGTGCTCCCAGGCAGTGTCTACAATTGGCTTCACTTACATTCCCATCATGGTTTGGGCAAGAGAGAGGCTTTCCTGCAGCCACAGCAGTGACTGTCTCCAGGATGGAAGACTCCTCAACGTTGCTGCCTGGAGTTCGCTGCAACACGTCCATCAGGTTTGTGATGAAGAAGTTGTTCTGGAGCGCGGCCACCCCTTTCTCGGGCAGGATGGAGGTCTGGCGGCACACTGGGCAGGAGAGGGTTAAACTGTGGGCAGGAATGTAGTTCTGCAGGCACCTGTTGCAGAAGCAGAGGTGGGAGGGCAGTGAGCACAGTGCAGCACAGGGGACAGAACCACCACCCACTTCTCAGAGGTATCTACAGGTTCTTACTCAGTGACTACATGGGCTGCTTTGCAGAAACTCTTCATAGTCTTTTCTAGGAAAATAATATTACAGAAACCAAGAGGTAACCTGTACTCACATTCACCCTGTCAAACTGATCAGTCAAATGATTATGTCCAAAGAAAAAAAAAAGTCTCACTGACTTCTGTAGCTTTTTCTAGATCCTTGGCACTCAAACTGTGGCCCGTGTACTGGACCAGCAGCATCAGCCTCACTGGGGAGCTTCACAGAAATGCAGAATCTTAGGGCCCATCCCAGCCGACTGACTCAGATCCCCATGTGATTTGTATGCACACTAAACTTTGACAGCATTTGTCTACAATATCTAGCATTGGTCTCATGAGTCTGTGGACTTTTACAATTGGAAGAAACACGCCAAATGTTTTTGTTAGCATTGAAACTCCTTTTATGTATAAAATCATAATCAGAGATTAAAAATACATCAAAGTGGAAATGTTTGGTTGAAGAAGGGATGAGACACACCAGTGTCAGAGTTTGTTTCTTCTTGCCTCTCCTCAACAGGTGTCAGCTTAATTCATTTCATTAAGGAAACGTGTCACTACTAATGACTAACACATATACGGCTCACTAAATTCAAAGTTCTTCCAGTGAGCCTATGAAGTAGGTACTGTTATGAACGCTTCAGACATATGAGGAAACACAGGCAGAGAGAGGCTCAATTACTTGCCCAAGGTACTTAGCTGGTCAAAGGCAGAAAAGGAATTCAAACCCAGGCGGGTTTGGACCATGATCTACGCTCTAAGTAACTAAACTATACCATGTTTTCCAGTTGCTTATCAAACAATTCAAAGCCACTGAGTTAGCCCCGTTCCCCTTATTATGCAGAGGAAGAAACTGACATCAAGAAGGTTAACTGATCTTTTCCATGTCACAGAGGTAGCTAGTGCTGAATCAACACCAGAAATCACACAGCTTTTGCTAAGGTCACTAATGGCATCTAAACCCAATTGATGTTTTTCAATCCTATCCTTCTAGACTTCTCAGAGGCATTCATCAAGCTTGACGGTTGCCCACCCATTTTTGGAAATTTTATCTTTCTCATCTTTATGAAATCTGGTTCTCCTGTCCGCTCTGTCTTTTCTGAGTCAATGCAGTTTGGAGTTAACCAAACCTCTTAAAAGAGACCTCTCCTCTCCCTGGGATATTATATCCACGTGCACAGCTGTAAGCATAATGCTCCCACATTTACATTTCTTCCCACAGATGTCTCTTCTGAGGCCCATAACTATATACCAACTGCCTTATTGACATCGCCTCTTAGAGATCTCACAGGTCCTAAAACTCAACACATCCAAAACTAAATTCATGATCTTCCCCCAAACTGTGTCCTCTTCCTGTTTCTTGTTTGTTTTGTTGTTGTTATTTTTATTTTTTCTTACCTCTTCCTATCTTGATGAATGGTACCTCCATCCATTCATCTCAGCAAACCAGAAACTAGAAGTTATTCTTAAAACAGTAATTCCCTACTGTCCTTCATTTCCCATACCCAACCCAACACCAAAGCCTGTCAATTCCTAAATATCTTTCCAACCTCTCCAGTTGTCTTCATCCCCATTACACCACCCTTTCTTAGACTTCTGCAATAGCCTTATACCTGGTCTATTATCGTTCACCTTTATACCCTCTTCATAATGCAACCAGAGTGACCTTCTCAAGACTCAAAACTAACCATTTAAATCTCCCTCCCCTCCCATTTGAGATTAAAACCCTTCCATAGTTTCCAGTGCTCTTACATCGAAGACAAGGATCCAAATATGGTTAACATGGATTACTCCACTATATGATCTAGCACCTACATATTTTCTGTCTCTTCCCTTCTTTATTGCATACCAGCCACCACTGACTTATTTAAACTCTTCCAAAGTGTCGTGGTCCCTCTCACTACTGCACCTTTGCATATACCTGAAATTCTTTCTTCCTCTCACTCCCCTTTGCTTAGTTAATTTTTACCCATCCTTGGAGTTTCTGCTTAATCTTCAGTTCTGCAGGGAAGCATTCCCTGATATAGCAAAGTCCCTATTAAATGGTTTCCTGTGTACTTCTGTTGTGTAGCACTTGTCACTGTTTAGTTTCACATTAATCTGAGAGATTAGGGTTAATGACTGGCTCCTCCACAAGGTTGTAAGCTCCCTGAGGCCAGTGACTGTGTCTGGTTTTGCTCTTCTTCCAAGCTTCGCTGGTGTTTTGAAAGATGTGGGTGAGAGAGAGAGATTAGGGTTAATGACTGGCTCCTCCACAAGGTTGTAAGCTCCCTGAGGCCAGTGACTTTGTCTGGTTTTGCTCTTCTTCCAAGCCTCGCTGGTGTTTTGAAAGATGTGGGTGAGAGGGTGACTTAGAAGATGTCCACTGAGTGGCCAGGTCCTATAGTTCACACTCCTGACAGTAACACAAGCTGTAAAGTTTTGTCTCTACATAAGCAAAATGTTCCCATTTTAAGAAAACCTGCCAGCACCTTAAAAAGGAAATAATTTCAATGTGCACAATGTTAGAACAATTTTAACACATAGCATTCCATAGGACTTTCCACGGTAGGATCTTGAAAATCTCTGTCACTTGCTATTGGATGGGAACAGGGGTGGGTTGAGTTATACCCAACAGAAAGGGAAGGGGCAGCCCCAGGGCAGCCCAGAAATGTTGCTTCTCACTGATCAGAGTCAAGAAATAGGATCCCAAACACAGATGATGGGGCACTAAACCTGGGGGAATAGGGCAGCTCTGCCAAGCTCAGAGTGAACGGCTCTCAGTGTTGTATAGAGTGCCTGGCTAGGCCGACTGCTGCAAATCAAGTGATGATCTTGCCATGTGTGTCCAGGGACACATGGACAAGTAGCTAATATTTATGTTTCAACTGTACTCACTAAGTGAGGGAAAAAAATCACACTCCATTTAATAAATTATTTTGGAATATGAATTACAAAACATTTAAGCCAAAGTATAAAATAAATAAAAAGTACTGATGCCATATATATTACTACTAAAACCAACAGAAAACCCATACACACACACACACACACCCTCACAACAATCCAAAACAAACAAAAAACCACAACTACCAGTAATAAATGTACCTTCTCCCTCCATCCATTACCATCACCAAGGATATAGTTATTCTTTTGCAACTGAGACCTTCCAAAGTAAATCAACTCAAAGAATGGTCAGTTAGCAAATGTATGTTAAATCAGATGGTAAATGTAACCAGCACAGAAGTCAATGTTAGTGACCTCAAAATGACCATAGCCAACTGTCATTGCTATAGAAGGAGTAGTGAGCTTTCTGTTGTTTGCTTTGTAAATCAATAAAATAATCACATGTTCACCATGCAAAGAAAACAAATTAGAAGAGGGCATATTGTACAAAGAGGTGTGCTTGCTGGGTTTCAAAGCAGTGGTGACTGAAGGGTTAAATACTTAATATAGCTACTTGTGTTCTTGCCTCAGCCATGAGTATATTTAAATACATATTTACTTTGTATATTCTTATTAAAATTGAATATATTTTCTCAAACCATTGTACTTAAAGCAATCAGAATATGCCACCTAAAATATGCCACTTTGGCACAAGGATTATTTTGAGGTTAAGGCCACTGAGAAATAGAAGACACAGAGGAGCTCTCTGCCCTCCCCATCCACCTACAAGCAGGGCATAAATTTCCTTTTCACAAAGGAAACTTCCACTTGTCAAGGTCCCCCTCTCTTCCATACCAGGAAGAGAAAATTCTTAATGCCTGGAGGCTTGCACTGAGGTGGGTTTGCATAACAAACCTTACTAAACAAACTTTATCTACCATACATTTCCTAATCACCTTCCCACAATTTATTGCCCCTAAGGAGTCCAAATCCCTCTTTCCTTTGTCTAGTCAGTTCTCCACAATTTATAGCCCTTTGTTGAAATGGTACAGAAGCCACCAAGTCCAACCACCTCTTTGGGTTTTCACTTCTTTTCTATGAAGCCCCTGTTCATGTAAAATTTAAAATATTAACATTAGTAAAATTTGTATGCCTTTTCCTTCTTTTCATCTGTCTTTTATTAGTTTAATTCACAGTACTCAAGCACATAACATAACAGGGTAGAAGAAAAGTTTTTCCTCCCCTATATATTATTAATATGCAGGATAGTGATAAATTAGAATTTTTAATTAAGAACTTTGTATGTGTTTCAGAGTGTTTTTTCCAGAACTAAAAGTTTTGTAGATTTGAAACTAAAATGTATCTGCAAAGGATCAAGAACAAAGACTAGAGGTAGTCCCTCTAAATAATTTTACAGAAATGACTATCGGTATTCATGTGTGGGCCTTTGAAGGACATAGTGAAGTGAATTAATTCAGAAAAGGTTTAAAAATGTTAGGCATCATGTCACAAAAGGAGAATTAGAAGAAGGCAACAGAGAAGAGAGTATAGACCCATGAGAGCTTAGGGAGAAAAAAGTTACAACATAAAACACAACTCCATTGACCACCTTAAAGGATTTCTGGCTTCTATCCCAAAGGGGTAAAGCAAGGCTGAGCTAACATTCACTTCCTAATTTTCCAAATATTTGGTAAGATGTTCACAGTCCTCCAATTCCCCATGGAAATTCTCTTTACTAAAAGAAAAAAGAGAAAGGAAAGGAAAAAGTAGTCTTCAATATGACTTTAGGCAGGAAGTAATATTATTATTCTGTGGATTGAAAAAAAAGAGGCTCAGTCAAGAAGTTTGCCAGAATGCAAACTCAGGTGCGTACGTCTCTAAAACCCATGGTCTTTGTACTCGATAAACCTCCACATCTCCCTTGACCTTGTTTTAAGAAGGTTGTACTATGGAAGCTTGGCTTATATAGAACACTTTAACTTGACCTGGTACCTGTATTGAAAGCTGGGAAATATTCCATGTTTACAGAATTAATAATTCCACACTTTATAAAGGAAGCACTCTTTTCCAAATATAATTAATAGTTCTAACTCCCTACCAAGTCACCACATTTTTTGAAAACTATATCAACTTTTTTTTATTCTTTTTTTTTTTTTAAAGCGGCTGGCTGGTATGGAGATTAATAATTCCACACTTTATAAAGGAAGCACTCTTTTCCAAATATAATTAATAGTTCTAACTCCTTACCAAGTCACCACATTTTTTGAAAACTATATCAACTTTTTTTTATTCTTTTTTTTTTTTAAAGCGGCTGGCTGGTATGGAGATCTGAACCCTTGAACTACATGTTATAACCCTGTGCTGTAACCAACTGAGCTAACTGGCCAGTCCTCAACTTTTATTAAGAAAATTTTGCTGTTTACACATATTTGAATATAGATCAAATATGACACACCCATTGTCCAACTCTATACCTCCTAGATAAGTTTGTTAAAGAGTATGATTAATAAATAGATAAAACCTTGTGAAGTACCTATTATACCAGAGTGTCCCATTCAGTCAGAACTCACTGTATAGTTAAACCGTGTGGAAGTGATGTATCTAATTAGCCAGCATTACCTGCTAGACTTCCCACAGAGTGTGTCCTTAAAGAACTCAGTTAGTTAGAGCACAGCCTTATAACACCAAGGTCACGGGTGTGGATCGCTTGCCAGACCAGCCAGCTGCAAAACACTAAAACCTACAGTAGAGAATTATATTCATTGATTGGATTATATGTAGCTCATCGCTCAGGAGCTTAAAATGTTGGCACTCTGTCTGCTTTTAAACCACATCCCTATGACATCAGAATAGGGAAGGAATGGATCTGTCTGTCTTAAAGATAAGGA